TGATGCGCATTTTTGACCAGTCTGACGGAAGAACTTTCCACATAATCTTCAACAGTTCTTTTCACTCCTATTTAGAATAAGGAAACATAGTATTTCGTCCCTCACTCTAAAAGGATAAGGACACACTGGAGCGTATCTAACGCGAGGCACTAAATAAGTGCGGGGACTCAAATTCAAGCCCTATGAAGAGAGCCTCCAATCATTAAACCTTTAGACGTTAGAGTATATGCATCCTAGAGGTGACCTCCTCATGGCCTGCAGTATCGTTAACACGTCTGGACATCCCCTTGTACATTTACTTAAGTTTAAATCCTACAGGAACCTAAGGGGTAACACTCAGAAACTAGAGACACAACACAGCAGAACGAACTGTAGACAACTTCTACTCCTTAATAGTTGTCAAATGCTGGAATTAGCTGCCAGCTGAGCTAGTCTAAGCGACTTCCCAGGAGTCTTTTAAGACTTGACCTATTTTTAAGAACTAAGGATAATATCCTATTATGATTTATCAATTTCTCTCTTTAATATACCTAGGTTCCTGCCTGGATGTATTGGTGATCTACTGCTACTAGACACGGAAGCCCATTAAACGAAAGTTTCTTCTATTACATTCACAACGATTTGAACCATTTGAAGAGGTTAATCGTTCACATGCGAGACCGATGGGTCTTAGGTTCACATCCCGTGAGGCGGGATCGTCGATGCGCACTATTGAGGAGTCGTATACTAGTAGCGAAACGATCATCCATTGCTTCCAACATTTTCATAGTAGTCTATCTTTAATCGATTCATGAATTCAACTATTAAGTAATAAAACTACTTATTCAACAACAACAACAACAAAACACAGATCCTATCAACTTAGATTATTAATGATTTCTGTTAAATTATGAAGGTCAATTTTTGCCGACATTTTTATTCGTTTACATCTATGTGTATATAAGTAGTATAAGTAGTATATATCACAGTGAAAGGTCATTCATTCATTCATTATTATTATTAAAACACAATATACAGTTAATAATCCAAATTGTTTCGTATAAAGATTACTGATTTGTAAAGGAATTTACCGATATACCGACAAATAGAGATAAACATTAAACAATCTACTTTTGTTTATTACTTATTATTATTATTATTATTACTATCGATACAAGTCAAAGAATGTATTATTGATGAACTATTTTATTGATATTCTTTTTCTTTGTTAAAATGGTATATGTATGTATATGTGTATGTATGCAGGTATGTATGTGTGTATGTATGTTTGTATATGTAATCAATGATCAATTATTGGCTTTAGGTAAGGGTGAGGGATGATACTATTACTCGATTGACTACATTGATGTGTACTGTTGAAGAGTTCAACAACAGGATGAAACGGGTCTTCCAGTGTTTCTAGGTTTTTCATGATGGTCTAGCTTCAATTAACTGATGAATTCAACTTTTGAAATTATTATAATATCCACAAGAGGTATTTCCTCGAGTTCTAGTGAGAAGCAGTATGCAGTAGACTTCAACCGGACCTATTGTGCGATAGTAAATGAATGAAGACAATGATGTATGTGTCGCTCAATTTTGTGGATTAGTTGAAGTTAGACATTAACACCATTGGATGCCTGCCAGCTCAGTGGTCTAGTGATTAGGCGCTCACGTGCGAGACTGATAGTTTCTGAGTTGTGAATTTGCAAGACGGTATCGTGTATGCGTACTGCTGAGGAGTAGTTCCACAATAGGAGGAAACGACCGTTTAGTGCTTCCAATTTTTCCATGATGGTCTAGCTTCAATTGACTCATGATCAATCCGTGGTGAATACCATCTAAAATTCGTACCATTCTCCACTTAACCTCTATCAAAACTGATAAAATTTGTTTGAAATGATTATAAATAATAATAATAAAGGTGTACAAGATTTATTTAGAAAGAAATACCAAGCCTAATTTGAATCTTCGTATACCTATAAACATTATTGATATAGGTCGGTTTATGGAAACTTTCTTATATGAAGACAATTCATTTGACAAACTGATATCAGCAGCAGAAATATAGGAAACAAATAACAACTGGATATCTTTGAAACTCTTCAGGAGCTCGCGCCTAAACTCTTGCATAAGATTTAAGCAACAAGCTTTAATCTTAATTATGAGCACAATACTTAACACTAGTTCACTAGGTACTGTTTTGTTTGAACCTTCCCATTGAGATTTAAAACTGTAATTGATCAGTCTTTTATTGGTATATGTGCATACTGTGCACATCCAGCTGATGAGCTCAAAGTAGGACGAAACGCGTGTCCTGGATTCCACTGCTAGCCACTATCCATCTTTGCTTATAAAGCTTGCTAAATAATGCAATACGCCCAGTATGCACATATACCAATAACAGACTGACCAACTGCAGTCTTAAACCTCAATAGGAAGTTTCCAGCAAAACAATACCAAGGGAATTTAAATTCACCCCGTTGCACAAGCAAGTGGCTATCAGGCCTCAATAGCTGAGTGGATAACGCGATGATGTTTAAAGCCAATCCTACTGAATTCGAGTCCCAGAGTGAACATCAACTTTGAGATGCAGGTATATCCTTGAGGCACCGATTCCAAGGTTGAACTTGATAGTTTCAAATAAATTGAGCATTGGGTAGAAAGTTAGTGATCAATGTATTCTTTGTTATATCCTGATGAGTGGGAAAAATTACCTCTGGTGTTTCGTGACCTAATGTAATCTACTTCTTCAGAGTAAATAAGTAACCGAAATTAAATTAACACAAGTTTAAATAGTACAAAGGAAAGAATGATTTGTATTTTTTTATATTTATTTACACTATATTCATATTGTGTGGATCAGTTTGGATATGAACTAGATTGATCATAGTTGCTCATTAAATTTCTGGAGTACTCCTAAATAAATAATCACCGATTCGACTTACTAGTCAAGAGGTTAGACATTTACACGAGAAACTGGAAGCCATCGGTTGCATTTTTACGAGAAATGTCGTCAATGCCATTACGAGTTCACCTTACTCGGTAAACGGAACGAAGGTCAACGATACAGTGATACGATAGGCTATTCTAATCCATTGTCCCTCGCCCTGCTAACTAGATCAAGAAGTCTCGATGAGGTGTAGAGAATGTATCCTGCAAGCCCCCAGATAATACGAGGTCACTAATCACACAAGTCAAGCTTATTTATACAATGATAGGAACGCCTTTGAGAGAGCCACAAAATAGCGTACTAAAGAAATCCGTCAACTAATGACAGTCAAGGATTGCCGAGTAGGAAATGTAAGCTGTAGGTCAACTAAGCATCTCTTGGCGCGAAAACATAAAACTCAAATATTCAGAATAAAATTACAAAATTAGGACCTTTTCCAAGTGAGTTCTGGGGATCTTACGTCCTCAATAATGTCCTATTCATGAACATTCAAAGTCTTACATTAAAAAACTACATGGGATTATTTATTGAAAATTATCTCGATATACATTCGATTGACTGAAAAGCATATTAAATTGATCAGTTTTATAAGTTAAAGTGATTTGTTTTGCATTGGAACGGGTTTTACATTTATGACCCCATCCAATTCGCAATATAACACAGGATATAAACCAATGCATAAACCCTGAACATATAAGGATATGAAACATATAATTATATTCAAAGATGGATAGTGGCTAGCAGTGGAATTCAGTTTGACGCGCGTTTCGTCCTATTTGGGACTTGTCAACTAGATGTACCTGCATCTCAGAATTGATGTTCACTCTTGGAGGGACTCAAAACCAGTACCATTCGCTTCAAACGCCATCGTATTATTCACTTAGCTACTGAATCCTGATAGCCATTTGCTTGTGCAATGTGGGGTTCGAGTCCCAGAATGAACATCAACTCTGAGATGCAGGTACATCCAGTTGACGAGTTCCAAATAGGACGAAACGCGTGTTCTGAATACCACTGCTAGCCACTACCTATAAACTTTATTACTTCAGGCAATATCGGATGCATATATACCAACATGAGACTGATCAATTACAGTCCTAAATAACAATGGATAGATACAAGTAAACAACACCAATTGAAATATATAATTATATTATTTATCTCCATGACTTTCACCAGAACCATAACAATAAAAACACACAAAGAGAGAGAGAGAGTGAGAAATCAAAGTTAACTGAAACTAATTAATTAATTAATTATATATGCAATTACTTCTCTTTTTTTTCCTTTCAAATACACGTACAATTTGAGGATTATTGAGAGTGTGTGTGTGTGTGTGTGTGAGTGTTGTTGTTGTTGGAGTGAAGTGAAGTGAAGTGTAATGCACAGATCCAAACTGTAATACAGATCAACACATACACACACACACACAGAGGGAGAGGGAGACACACATACACAAAAGTTTATCACTAATAAACAAAATGTTCGAAATAGATATTGATATGAAAATATTCGAAACAATTATGGTTTATGTATTGGGTATATGTTGAATTAAGTGATGGTTACAATTTGTCTGTTCATAAGACTTAATAATTGTAAATAATAATAGTCGTTATGATAGTACACAGTAGGATTCCAATATTTTCAACATAATAATATATTGTATTTACAAGAAAAGAAAAGAGAAAAAAACATACAACTGTACACAAAGTTAATTAAAAGAATAGTTTGTACAGATACTAAATAGATAGTTACATAATCATCATATCAATACACACACATACATACATACATACAAGTAAATAAGCAGGTAGATATACATGAATGCATGTATACACAACAAAAAAAGAAGTGTACATATGGTAGGAACAATAATTAATAGGGATAAGATATATGAGGTAGTTGCAATGGTAGTAGTAGGAGGAGGAGGAGGAGGAGGAGGAGGAAGGGGAGTAGCATAGCACATAAAAGAAATAAACAAATACATAGATTAATCATTATAAAATTAAAACGAAAGGATCATTGAAGAGGAAGAAGAAGAAGAATATTGAACGGTTGAAATTATTTATTAATCAGCACGTTCTACACGTGCTACAACTTTACCTTCCCATAATGGTAGAATAGCATTATCATTTGTTAATTCTTCATGAACTACACCAGTACCAAATTCATCATTGGGTTTTTTGAAAAAATATCTACAAAAGAATAACGAAGAAGAATTAAACAACAACAAAACACAGAATAAGAATAATAAAACAAAAACATGACAATAACTAGAAACAGGAACATGTCTCACAACCATATATATATATATATATATATGCTACACCACCATGGAAAACCTGGAAGCACTGGATGGTCGTTTCGTCCTATTGTGAGACTACTCCTCAGCAATACGCATACACGATACCGCCTCGCAAAATTACAACCCAGAAACTATCAGTCTCGCACGCGACTGCCTAACCACTAGACCACTGAGCCGGCAGGCATCCAATGGTGTTAATGTCTAACTTCAACTAATCCATGAAATTGAGCGACATATCCACCATTATCTTTATTCATTTACTATCTCACAACAGGTCCGGTTGAAGTCCACTGCATACTGCTTCTCACTAGAAGTCCAGGAAACACGTCGTGAAGTCATTCACTAGTGAGCATATGTTGATTAATATTAGAATGATCTCAACTATTGAAATTACTATAAAATCCAGAAAAACACTTCTGATATATTATCAGAAGGGGTTTTGTGGAGATTTTAGAAATTTCATAGATTAAAATCATGAGTCCATTGAAGCTAGACAACCATGGAAAACCTGGAAGCACTGGACGGTTATTTCGTCTTAGTGAATGATTTCAAGAGATACTCCTGGAGTTCTAGTGAGAAGCCGTTACCAGTGGAGTTCAACCAGGTCTGTTGTGAGATATCAGCTCACTGAAAACAATAGTATACGGTGGCGCAACTTCGTGGATTGGTTGAAGTTAGACATTAACTTCTGATATATATATATATATATATATATATATATATATATATAATTTTTATTATTGTTGTGGGAAAATTGACATGAAATAGAATAAGTTTCGTTGTTTAATGAGGTTTACATTTGTCCAGTTATGGGTTAACGAACTAACTAACAAGTAAAGAGCATTTTTGCACACTGGAAACTTAGTAGTAGTAGTAGTAGTAGTAGTAGTAGTAGTAGTAGTAGTCAGTTGTCGATGTATTCATATGTATGTACATAATAATCATTCGGTTATTTCTAATCTTTCACACACACACACACACACACATACGCTTTCTCTCTCTTTCACACACACACACACACTTGTAACAAACTGAATGAATAAATTATATTAAAGATTAGAAATAGACATTCGGTATAGTACAGTGTGTATAGTTTAAATATGGATTAATTGTGATATGACTAGACCAGATACTAGAAAAATCGATTTGGGGGGAAAACGATGAAAACAGAGAAACTAGTGTAAGAAGAAAAAAACAACTAGGTGTTACTTGTTTTCTTAATAAAGGATAAAAACTAAATAAAAAAAAACCCAGTCTCAACAATACTGTAACGACCGAACTGCCAGTATTCGGATTCCAACAATCCTCCTAGGCAGACAGTCAAAAGGTTAACAGCCACACAGTGAATTACGCCGTGACCTTGAGCTTAGTCAAACACAACCTTACTGTCAATAGTCCGGCAACATGCAATAGAAAATCAGACAACGAAGGATAAGTCTTTAATCAAAATCACTTAATAAAAGTTCAGACGAGGAAAACTGAAGAACAAAAGGTGTTGTTAACCGAGATCTGAACAAAGGTTAAAATACACAACAGGGAGAAGAAACAAAGAAATGATAGTACTGTCCAACAAAAAGACTGCGGAGGGATTTTCATCGTTCTCTTTCCCTTACAAATACAATACAATACAATCTATATATCTCCTGGTAAAGTTTATTGGTTAAAGTTTTAGGTGAAAGCTAAGAGCCACTCTTTCGGACCTAACTATGATTTAGATATATATATATATATATTGTCTAGTGGTTCACCACACACGAGTGAGTCCAGTGTTCGAATCTCGTGAAGCGAGATCGTGGATGTGTCAACTGCTTGTAAATCAAGCATTCAATTATCTATTGTAAACTGAAGACGAGAAAAACTAGCTAAGATTCACAGTAAGATAGACCATAATAATAATGATAAAACACTCCAATTCATGTCATATTACAATTTAATGTGTAGCACTTAAAAATTCAAACATTTCATATTCCCTCTTTGTCAAGTATTCTAAATGGTCGAAAGCTATAATTTGCCCATGTATTTAACTGAAGCATCTTATTTCTACAAAAGAAAAAATAGCGTCCATACTTTTAATTTCATAGAAACTAGTGATAATCCTTCATGACAAACTCTTCTTGATCAAATTCTACATACCCAAACCCAGTTTTATGGTGAGGGAAACAAAATTACATTGCTTAAATCTCATCATGTTTTTTTGGTCTTCGAATTAAAATTTGTCTTACTCAATGAGGTCATCACTATGAGATTCCAATATGTGCATAGGTGAATACAATTTGACATTTTTATCCTCCCCAAATGCCCTGGCATGGTCGAGAGTGGAGTGAGCCCGCCCTCCCTCTCCAAATGCTCTCACACGGACACGCGTATACAGCTTCTGACAGGGATGTTCTACTCACTGCCTTCTCGTGGTGGGGGTGTTGTTTACGAAAATGAGAGGACTAAAAGTGAATGTCCGGCGCTTTAACCGGATTCCAAACCAATGGTGCATATGGGCTCCAGTATCCTAAAGGAACAAGTGGCATATGAACCAATCGTTGGTCACCGGCTACCATGGGACTACATCTCCTCACGATGCTCCACTGCCTTGTGGATTAGACCTTTAGGTCGAAGGCTCGAGGAGTGCCCCCCTAAGAAAACCACATACTTCGGTTTGGGCACTCGGGCAGTATCACAGTCCACATACAAATATAATGATGATGAAAATGTGTGCCGCATATATAATAAATTTTTATCCTCTATATTTACATCTTAGAAACAGGGTCATTTGAAAAAAAAAGATTCAGTGAGCTTACAAAATATTAAGCACAGAAAAAAGTGACTATCATAAGAACTTACCGATAAACACCTTTTTTAGCAATCAATTGTTTAAATTGTCCCAATGTTAACAAAGATTGATTACTCAATTTAGTTTGAAAATTGTCTACAATTTCTGATTGATCATTAACTTCAACAAATAGACCAGAGGAAGAAATGGAAGAAGATGGAGGTGGATTATGTGAACCACCAGTCCAAACAGTTCGATAAGGAACAGGATCATCGCATAAATAATAGCCGACAACTAATCCAGGACCTGATGAACCAGTTGTGGAAGTAGTATGGCAACTCTGTTGCATCATTCCAGATGATGATGAAGATAATTTAGATTCCAAACGTGTACTACTAAATTTTTAAAAAAAGTTAATAAAATAACGTTTATTTACTATTTATTTAAACATATAAACATTGGTACAAGGAGACACCAAATAGATATGCACCACATAAATCATTTGATTTAGGTGAGGGCTGAGATACTGTCTGGGTGCTCAAACCGAAACAGGTAGTTTCCTTAAGGGGCCACACTCGGAGGCGTTGACCTAAAAGTTTGATCCACAAGGCAGTGTAGCAACGTATAAAGATGCGGTCTCATGGTAGCCGGTGACCAATAATTGGTTCATACACCTTTCGTTTCCTTAGTATCATGGAGCCCATATGCACCATTGGTTTGGAAAGAGGGTTTTCCAATTCCCCTAGGTGAAACTGCGTATCCACCAACCTGGTGAAAGCGTAAACAATAGTAATGCCGCGAGAAGGCAGTAAGTAGGACTTACCTGACACTGGTTGTATCGACTTGACTTTGTGAGAACAACTAATGAGGGAAAGCTGACTCTCCCCACTTTCAGCTGTACTAGAGCATTTGGAACGTGAAAGTTTTTATAAAAATAATACTTTAAACCTTAAATTTTGATGATTAAAATGCTTAATTCAATTCAAAAATAAACAAAACTACTCATTATCATTTAATTAACCTTAAAAAATCTTTACTACTGCAACTAATAGTTAGTTCACTTGGTAATGTTTGGCTTGTATCCTCCCATTGAAGTTTAAGACTGTAATTGATCAGTCTGCTATTGGCATATGTGCATACTGTGCATACCAGTATATTCCTTTATAAATGCCTTTTCATTCTGTCCTCCGGAATTTTATTGTCAATGTTTAATCTTTCTCATAATTGTTTCTAGATTATAGGTATAGGCTAATGCCCTCGTATGGCCAAGAATGGGAAGAATTCAGCACTCCCTCTCCAAATGCTCTCACATGGTCATATTGATACACCCACTAACAGGGAAGTCCTAATCACTGCTTTCTCATGGCATTACTGTTGTTTACAAAATTGAGAGAATGAAAAGCGAATGTCCGACACATTTTAACCTGGTTGGTTAACAACAATTTCAATCCGATACACTGAAATCATGCCAAATAATAATAATAATAATAATCAGTCAGTCAGTCAGTTAGCTACAACATATGATCAGGCACATATATACATCGGTTCAAGTTACCATTACCTCATTAACATAACAAGATGAACATCAGATTTATAGAAGTAGTTCATTCAATGATAGTAGTGTGAGATATAAAAGAAAGATTGCTGTTTTATGACTCAATTTTGAACTAGTTCTTCAGAGGATTGTTAATTGAAAGATGAATAAATACATTGTATCAAACATCAAAAATTTTATTGAATGTATCCATATGTTGTTTGATAAATTGAAAACTGACTATTATCATCATCATCATTGTTACTATGTTGTGTTTTTGTAATCATGATTTGGATAAGTTTTTATGATGTTCTATTTATAACTTTAGTTTTAAGCATTTAAAACCTTGGCTTGATTTAGTGGTTCAAATGAGTTGATATTTGTCACTGTTAAGTCGGCTTTCGGAGAACTGCAACGGAGCCTCCAGAGGACCTAAAGGAGCTGAAGAGTCCTAACCAATCAGAGTATCATGGAGCTTTCTAGAATGTCAACATGGCGTGCTACTATTGATCAGTAGCATAATATATCTTTTAGTGGATTGGCCAAAATATGATGTTGATTTAACAAATGTTAACATCTATAAATACCGGTGTTTTTCTGTACAAAAATAAACCTTTGGAGTAAAGTGTTTTTCGCTTATTTTACGCCTTTTTCTCTTGAGTCCAGGTCACTGCGTAGTTCTAGCTTCGGGGTTATCAGAATAGCTTAGGAACCGAATAAAGCGTTCAAATTAACAAAACTTATCAGTCACATCAAGATATATCTACAGTTTTTGATGAATTAATTCTTCCTGTGGGATTCGAACCTACGGTACACATTAAGAGATGTTACCATCGAACTTCTTGGGAATGGAAATTGATCTTATGTAGTAGGACTGAGATATTAACACTGTTTACATAGTACTAATAAATATCCTGATTACTTAGTTCTTTGTGTTAGTTAAATTATATGTATCAGGAGGTCAATCATCAACTACATGTTAGAATCATACAAAGAACAATATTTTTCTCGAGAGTGTAGACATATTACTGACAAAAGTCAACTAAATGCTACTCTTATTACTCTGGTATTTGTCTTAAAATAATTCTATCGTGTTGTGTTAATGTAGTACGGCAACTTGAACTGAGGCGTGTGTCAGATTTCACCTTGCGTATAACTGATCGACTGATTGAACTAACATGAACTTTGATTCAATATACCGCAGAATAACACATGTCATTTATTAAACCAAACTTAACAAGTGCTGATAAGACAGTTGTTTATTTCCTAATTAAAGTACATTGTATATCCTAGGACCATCGAATAAGTAACACAGTTGTTAGGAAACGGGTACTAGGTAAGGATGGCAAATCAATTGATGACGTAGTGAAACTTCATCAGTTGAGATGGCTGGGACACGTGTTACGTATGCCCAACCACCGACTGCCTCAACGTGCGATGTTCAACGGTATAGGAGTAGGTTGAAAGAAATCTAGGAGCGGCCAGACCAAAACATGGCACAAGTCCATGAAGTCACTGACAAGTGGACCGAGTCATGTTGGTAGGTGTATACTACCTACCTGGTTGGGGACCGCCAGATGATAGCAACCGATGGTTAGAGACCCTGAATGACGTGGCTCAAAATCGTTTGTAATGGTGTGCTCAGGTGCATCCACTCTTTATGTTCTCCCAAATTCTAATCTTCTGAATTCCTCATGTCCCTTTCTTTTTTCTCTTTCCAAATTTATTTCACTGGATTATACTCCTTGAATAACATCTCCAAACTCTAATCTTTCTGATTACTGCTCATACTCTTACCACCTCTATCACTACAGGATGTGAATCGACCACTGCATCTCTGTGCTAATGTGGTGCGGCAACTCGAACTGATGTAAGTACGTACGAAGTTCTACGTTGTTACTGACTGACTGACTAATTAACGTACTTTCGTTTATAGTCCTAAATAAGTGCGACGAGAAAGCGATGATGATAATATAATATTATGATCGTGGAAAGGTAGTTAGGACCCTTTATTGCCTGTTTCAGTGGCTGAAATTCGAATATCCTATACCATTAATTAATAAACAAGTTATATTATTACTATTTGCCAACGAATAAAATATGGTAGAGAACAAACTAACCTTGTATTATTTTCATCATGATCATCATCGTTTTCGTCCAAATCCAGTCGAATATTGTTGTTCAACTCCAAACTATTGTCAACATTCATTGAATGTTTAGGATTCTTATTATTAGTACTACTACTAGTAGTAGTCATACTGACATTATTATTACCAATACGATGTGCGCTAGATTTCCTATGACTATGATGATGATGATGGTGATGATGATGTGATTTTCTCCCATGTGACGATGATGATGATGGTTCTTTACCATTTTTATGTGAATTATCATTGGACAACAACACAGCATGATCTGAAGATAAAGATTTTAGTTTTTGCTCATCATCATCATCATCATTAGTAGTAGTAGTAGTAGTAGTAGGTCGAAGTGGTGTATGTAAAGTTTCTGATGAATTTTGTTGTAATTGTAACCAGTGTTGAAGTAATTTACCACTTGTTGGCTTCTTACAATCATTATTCACATCTATTAAAATAAACATACACACATGGCAGAAATTATAATCACAGTCAGAAAGATTGAAGAAATAAATTTCAAGTCTTTTTTTCATTTTAAGACTGAACCTGAAAGTGTAGCTCAGGAAGTAGCCAAATGAGGATATCTGTGTGTTTTTTTCTAATGAGTAGAGGTTAGTGTTATTACCCATCTTATTCAAGTTGAATAAGATGTAAAGAAGATCGAACTCAAGTTGTGGATGGCTACCAGTCATAATCAATTTAGAGCCTGGTACATATATATATATATATGTGTGTGTGTGTGTGTATTGCCCAAAGTTAGGGCCTGAAGTCGAAATAATCACAGTAGTAATGAGAATTTTTTTAAAAAAAAACTAAATGTTGAAAATACGGTTCAAGAGTCCGGAGTGAGAACGTATCTATGCGAGTATTGGAATTCAAGATCTAGAAGAAGATAAATGATGAATATATCTGATTCATTCAAACCGATCTTGACTCACATCATCCAACGTCTCTAACCGCTGGTCATCGTTATTGAGCGGACCTCAACCAGGTAGTCTGTATCTGGATCAGACACTAAAAACATGTTTTGATTTAGCCACCTTTTTTATTCTTACAACTTAGTCCTGCTTCAACAAGCACTGGATATCAAAGTAGACTTTGGTTAGGTATACATACGTAATACATGATGTCCCAATTAATTTCAGTAGGTAAAGATTGACAATCTTATCAATCGATTTGTCATCTTTTGTCTAATATACACACTATCCCTCATCTTCCAATGGTTACAAATTAATTCTAAATAAACACTTCACTCTTTTACTCTAAGCTCTTCTTATTTCTCATTTCGTGTATATGGATACAATAATCAACATAGAAACAATCTAACAAGATGATTTCGTTTAATTTTTTTTTAATATTCAAAACATTAATCAAATATGTTCAATCTACTACTACTACTACTACTTTGTAAATGTATATACTTTTATAATAATCTATCAAGTTGTCACTATATTCTATTTGTTTAATTAGTCTGATTGCTTCCACATCATTTAGTGTATTCACAATAGGTATATCCGTATTTGGTGCTTAGGACATGCGCACACACACACACACAGAGAGACTATATGTATGTATCTATGCACATATATTTGGCGCCACAAATAAATTATACATTCAGATTGTATAATTGTTTTAATACTTTAATTAAAAGTTCTTTGTTTGAATTCTCTTATATAAGGCGAATAAATAGTAAACATTCATAAATAACAAATGAACATGATAGATTTGAACAAAATTAATATACATGAATTTAATATTTAAGATAATGATAATCAGATGGTAATCAGTCAGTCAGTCAGTCAGTGTGTGAGAGAGATAACGAATACTCCTACCCCAGAAATGCCCTGGTACTTCCGAGAGTGAAGAGAGTTAGCTCTCCCTTTACAAATGCTCTCACATGGGTCACGTGCATACAACCACTGACAGAAAAGTCCTAATCACTGCTTTCTCATGACATTACTATTGTTTACGAAATTGAGAGAAAGAAAAGCGAATGTCTGGCGCTTTAACTGGGTCGATGGACACAAAGGATCCATCTAGGGTAGTTGGAAAACCTTTATTTCAAACCAATAATGCACATGGGCTCCAGAATCCTGAAGAAACAAATGGCGTATGAACCAATCGTTAGTCACCATGGGATTGCATCTCCTAATGTTGTTCCACTGCCTTATAGATTAGACCTTTAGGTCGAAGTCTCCGGGTGTGGCCTCCTAAGAAAACCACCTAGTTCGGTTTGAGCACCCGGGTAGTATCTCAGCCCTCACATGAATCGAATGATTTATGTGGAGCATATCTGTTTGTTGTCTCCTTGTACCAATGTTTATGTGTTTAAATAAATAAAATAAATGAGCGAATCGCTTCAGGATTTTGTATAATTTCAGAAAACCGATAGTTCTGCACCAACTATTGGGACATCACTGTTAACTGATCGTCACTTACAGATTGGTGTATTTGGCTTATATCCACTCTGTCCATGTTTATGTTACTATTAAAGTTACTCATATTCAAGTAGAAGAGGAGTTCAAACTTCCAATGTGATAACTGAAAGTCAAATGTCTAAATCAGTGAAAAATCACTTCATAAGGATAAACACCATTCCATCTATTTTGAAATATACACAAATAGATAGTAACCTTTCATCACATTATATAATAAATGTTTCTATAGAAAGCCTACCACAGACAAACCGTAAATGTTTGATAAGTAAAACCTATAACACTACAATGAATCAATCTTATCACACACAACAAAATGAAAGTGGAATAAAGCAGAATATAATCTTAATGAGACCAACTTTAATATCAATATTGTTGTTCACTTTCACATTCATAGTTACAATTGATTGATCACTGGGTAGTGATCAATGTCATCCTTGTCTAGTCCTTATTAGTGCAGATCGAATGCTATCGATCATGTTGCAATGTGGCCACCAGTCTAGGTGACTCGACACTGTGGGCACTATGTATTGAGATTTAGATGGTGGTTTCCTGTTGACTACCTCCAACCACCATCTAAATCTCAACATTCATAGTTAATATTTTAACCATAGTAGTACACAACCATAAAAACAAGTCGAATGCTTTAATTTAAGCAGTAATTAGCTCAACACTAACACTAAGTTACCTTCTATTTAAGTCATAATAATCCCTCTCTCCAACAAAAGGTAGTGGTTTTGTTGTTATTCTTATTATTATTGTTCTATTCAATAGGTATTGCTTTTTTAATGCATTTTCCATTACATAACAACTATGTTTATGTTTTGCTTATTTTCACTATAAGATAAGTGAACATGAACATGGGCATTTGAACATACACAACAATCTACATGTATACAAATAAAAAGCTACCAATTTAGTGTATGTGGTGTATTGATGTATGAAAGAGACAATCACATGTAAGTAACAGAAAATAAACAGACCAATATGAAATATAGGCAATTGATCAATGATGATAATGATAACATGAATAGGTATATCTTTAAAGTATTTTATTTATTTATTTATTTAAAGACATAAACATTGGTACAAGGAGGCACCAAATATATATGCGCCACATAAATCATTCGATTTGTGTGGGGGGGGGCTGGGATATTGCCCTGCTGCTCAGGCCGAAGTAGGTGGTTTCCTTAGGGGGTCACACCCGGAGCCGTTGACCTGATGGTCTGATCCACAAGGCAGTGGAGCATCGTGAGGAGAGGCAGTTCCATGGTAGCCGGTGAGCAACGATTGGTTCATACGCCATTTGTTCCTTCAGGATACTGGAGCCCATATGCACCATTGGTTTGGAATCCGGTTGAAGCGCCGGACACTCGCTTTTCATCCTCTCAATTTCGTAAACACCCCCGCCATGAGAAGGCAGTGAGTAGGACTTCCCTGGCAGAGGCTGTATACACGTGGCCGTGTGAGAGAATTTCGAGAGGGAGGGCGGGCCCACCCCACTCTTGACCATGCCAGGGCATTTGGGGGCTGTTTAAAGTACTTCCCTTTATGATGTAAGTCATTATGAAACAAGTAAATAGATTACTGTAGTTAATAGTGTAAATTAAAATTAGTGAATATAAGACTTCAATAAGTTACCTAGAGTTTGAAAACCGAATGCATTAACTACTACTGAGAGTGCCTTGTGAAATCAATCAATTGCTGGATCTGAGGATATCAAGGATAAATTCCGAAGTAAATGAGGTAGATCAATTATAAGAACGATGTAGCTTGATGCGTTGTAATAGGCAAAGATGAGAGTAGATCAGTAATATGATTATTGAGAACTAGATATGTAAAACTTGATAGTTAGGGTATGTACTGGTAACTAACCAGTACAATCCAATATTGAATATAGTGTCTGAAAGTCAATCTATGTTGTGCAAATAGATGCAACAGCTATCTCTGTTATTCTCCAGTTGTCGATGGTATCCCAACTGATATCAATCATTAATAAATACAACTTATAAATGTTCAAAATCTACACAACTACATTTTTATTTTCTTCATAAACTTGATATTATTCATGATTTAGTCATCATCAACAAACCTACCACCAACAATTATTATCGTAGACTAAGGAGAAGTATATAATTATGATTGTACACCCTTTTGCTTTCGGTGAATGAATCCGCCGTTCAGAAAGAGATCTCTTCACTGAACTACAACACATTATTTAATACTTTGTAATTAGTATTAATGTTCACAATATGAAAATGGTAAGAGTTTCTCTCTAACACATAAAAAACAATCATAATCCCTGTATTCTATTCTATCTATAATGCATAATACACACAACATCAGTTAGTCAGTCAGTCAGTCAGTCAGTAACAACGTAGAAATTCGTATGTACGTACACACAACATATACTACTGACACTATCAACATTGGATACCGGCCAGCTCAGTGGTCCAGTAGGTTAACCGTTCGTGCGAGAGACCGAAGCCCCTGGGCTCGAATCCCGCGAGCAGGACCGTGGATGTACACTAGATCAGTGGTCTAATAGGTAAAGAGTTCGCACGCGAGATTAAAAGGCCCCGGGGTTGGAACCTTGCGAGGCGGGACCGTGGATGTGCACTGCTGAGGAGTCCCACAATAGGACGAAACGGCCGTTCAGTGCTTCCAGGTTTTTAAAGGTGGTCTAACATCAATCGGTTCATGATCTCAACCAAGAGCTTAATAATCTCCACAATCCCTATACTAACAATTCAGTCAGTCAGCAACAACATAGTAATATATAATGAAAATTTTAATTTATCTTATGTAAAAAGGTTAAAAGAAACAAAAACATCAAAGAATTTAAAGAAAAAAAATCACACAGATCATTCGTTCCACTGTTTCCCATTCATTAATCTTTACTCTTTCCATCATCTCCCAACCTTCTTAACTCTTAACATTAAACATAATGATTACATCTAAGTGGAGTTTAAGTATTCACTATTATCCCTTCGACGTTTACACTACCATTTCTGTGTTAAAAATATTTAAAAAAAAGGTAAAAATTTTGAGGAACAGATAATGAAGAAGAAAAAAAAGAAGAAGAAGAGGAAAGAGGGAATAGAAAAAAACAAAAAAAAAGAAAACAAACGAATTAAAAACTAAAAAAACATTGTTTCACTCATTAGGTATATATATATATATATATATATGCGGATGTATGAGAGAGGTAGGGCGAATCAGTGGCGGTGAGCATCATAAAAGCAACATTGTTAGTCTATACATATATATATATATATATATAGGAGAGAAAAAGTACATTGAAACCGAAATAGATTTCATCAGTTGTTAATTTCTAAACAAACCAAAACCAATATAGATACACATAGAAATACAAAGCAAATAGAACTATTATTGAAATGATCAAAGAAATTACCGACATAATTAATAATATAAACTTATAATTTAGTATATTAGATGTAGACGTATATCTTCTATACGTCGATAATACATGAAAAGTACACAGGGATAAAGACAATATCCGGAGAATTGTATGTATGTATGTGTATGTGTGTGTATGTGTGTATGGATATAGTCATAAAGAATAAATAGACACCGGTATTCATCACATCAACAAATAAACAAATTAAAAAAAACATCAAAGTAAACAGGACGGTAAAAAGTGTTTTCTATTGGACAAATAGTAAATAACAAGAGATAAACAAGATAAACTATTCCATATATACACACACATATATATAATATGGATATAAAGAAGAGAAGAAAAAGAACATACAGTTTAGTTAAAAAGAAGCACTTCAAAGGGACTATATAATTCAGAATATAAATGCAAATACGAATGGAAGAAAGAAAGAAAGAAAGGACGAAAAAAAGGAGAAAAGGTGAAAAGAATCACAAACAGTTTGCGGCTTCTTTTGAAATCATTTATGTATATCAGTATAGCAACAACAACGATAACGACGACAACAACAACAACGACAAGTGAAAAGTGAAAATAGAAGAAAATTAATCTCATTACTATACAATTACAACTACTGATTATTATGATGATTATATTTCATTTATATTATTACTATCATTTAATCTCATATCAATAAACGAATCGAATAAAAGACAACCACTATATAAGAATAATAACTTTCATTATCTTCAACAAATATACAATATAGTATAGGGGTTGTGGAGATTATTAAGTTTTTGATTGAGATCTTGAATCAATTGATGTTAGACCATCACAATTGAAAACCTGGAAGCATTGGACGGCCGTTTCGTCCTATTGTGGGACTCCTCAGCAGTTAATCCTTGTCGGGTAGAGACAGTTATCTACTTAGGTACAATGGAAGTTGGTCACGCAATTTCGTGGATTGGTTGATGTTAGAAACTATCACCATTGGATGCCGGCTCAGTGGTCCAGTTGGTTAAGCGTTCGCACGCGAGACCGGAGGCCCTGGGTTCGAATCCCGCGAGCGGGATCGTGGGTGCGCACTGCTGAGGAGTCCGACAATAGGACGAAACGGCCGTCCAGTGCTTCCAGGTTTTCAATTGTGATGGTCTAACATCAATTAGTTCAAGATCTCAATCAAAAAAAATATACAATACACATATGTACTTGTTGTGTGTAAATAAAGAAGAAAATTGATATGACACTTAATTGTTAATATCTGTGATTGCCCAAAGCTGTTAATCAGAAACAGTGAATTATCGATCGGATCCACGATGCATAAAACACATGCGAGCAGTCTAGAGTTCTGATTGGTCCTGCTTTCCGCCTAGCCCGGCGAACTAAGACTAGAACAATAATCTCAACCTCTGCGATATGAATCCTTATACTTCAAACATACTGAGTTTATAAAACCAATCAAACAGACCAAAATGTAGCATAAAATAGAAAATAACATTTGGCCAAATGTGGCTGTGAATGTGAGAGGTAGTGATTAATAGACTAGGCATAATTCAAGAATGGTAAAACGTATAATAATGGTTCATAGGTCAAAATAAAGCTTATGATAAGAGGAAGGTGAATATGAATAGTTGAGCTACTTAACAATTATACAATAAAAATATACGCATAGTAATGGTCTATAAATGGATTCCAAAAGTTACCATTCATTATGTTTATCGGGACCTAACAGTATCACAAGGGGTTTTGTGGACATTATAGTAAGTTTAATAATTGAGATCATAAGTCAATTGAAGCTGGACCACTATAGAAAACCTGGAAGCAATGGACGGTCGTTTCGTCCTATTGTAGGACTCCTTAGCAGTGTGCATCTACGATCTCGCCTCGCAAGATTCCAACACAGGACCTATCAGTCTCGAACCGGAACGGCCGTCCAGTGCTTCCAGGTTTTCCATGGTGGTCTATCTTCAATTGACTCATGATCTCAACTATTGAAATTTAAGTGTTAGTTATAAATTTTTCTATACTTTTAGATAGAGATGAAATTCAGGACATAGTCGAGAATACTGACAAGAGCGGTAATTTAAAAAAACCACGAGAATAATATTATACTCTATGTGGAAAAACTAGTATATGTTTGAACTCAGTTGCTTAAAGCATAATAGATTAATACTGGAAGTAATGGATTCAAGTGTTAATGTAAACATCGGTAACAGTGAGTTATAAGCATACACAGATACCATGTCCTAAATGGGACGAGATGCTAGGTCGTCTAGGATTTTACTGCTTGACTACATTCCAAAACAAACACTCAATAAATTTTCTACTGATTAGCTTGGAGATATGATTCCTGAAATCCTAATCAAAAGTTGTAACCAGTGGAGTGTGAAGATGTTAGCAGAAGGACAGATATAATTGAAAAGATCTAGACGACTCCTCAGTTGGATTGCGAATACATTGAATTCGGGAACGATGATAACTGAATCTTGGCTCAGTGGTCCAGATATACTGGGTTGCCGACGAAGTAAAAAGGTTTCAGGCTCGAATCTTTTCGGAATTTGGATTCCCATCTATCAGGAAGTACAAATTAGGATGAAACCATTGACAATTACTTCTTAGTCAAAGAATCTTGCCTTTGTTCCGGATCCTCACACACACAATCCACATTTTCAAATATCTATTCAGTTGGATGGTTGTGTTGAGGTTAGTTAGGATTGATATGAAAGTTAGGGATGGAATTGTTCAAAGAAGAAAAACGGACATTCATATAGCAATCAAAATTTCATAACTTACCATATTTATAATTCAAATCATTGATCATCAATTCCGGACAGTGAGAATGATGGTGAAGAAAATGAGAATGACGATAATGATGACGAATGTTATGATAATGATGATGTACTGAAGAACATGAATCACATAAGTGTAAATCATTCATAGTATGTTGATTAAACTGTTGTCCAGGTGTTGTCTGTTTCGAATCAAATTCATAACACGATGAAATGAGGCAGTTTGTTAGAGGGCACTCACGTGTATAAGTAGTAGTAACACTATTGTTATTATTATTGTTATTATCATTATTGTCGTACATGGATTTTGACGCAGAATGGGTACGGTTTCCTCTTGGAGTGGAAAGATGTTTATCCTTGAAATTAGGATTTGTTTGCCAACTATGAAGGCTCCTATAATAATAATATTAATAATAACTAAGCTGAAGTTCACAATATATAAATTCCGACTAAACTAAATACAATTATTTAGGGATTTTATTTCATAACAAATAATCAGATTGCTTCAAAATAGCTCAATAGTAAAGACTCTGACTATGAGACAGTGGTTTGATTTTAAAATCCCATGAAGAGCAACAGCCTCTCCGAAATCCTAGATATTTCTGACTGACGTGTACCAATTAGACCGAGAGCTTCACAGTCCCTACATTAATTTTTCCAGAAGCTGAGGACTTATTGTTAAGGAACTCTTTATCAGCCAATAAAGTCACTAACATCTGATCTGAGCCATATTGGTAGATGCAGACTGAGCGAGTATCGTAACCAACATTTGGAGACTGTGGGTGACATGGCTCAGAATCGATTACAATGGTGTAGGTGAATACGCTCTTTGTCTTCACTTAAACCATGACGTTAAAATTACTCAATGCTTTTCTTTATACGAACTAATTCTTTCTCACAGTATCATATCTTTATATGCAATCTTTATTTCTATAATATTACTACCATTGAGGTATGGCAACCTGGACCGACGCATATATATGCCTGGTCCAACGTTGTAGATGACTGACTAACCGAACTCGATATTCACCCTACTTTAAGTTAGCTCGATTGAACAAAATTCTCATCATTAGCTTTCATTTTAAAAAGAGTGGCTCGAGGTCAATTACACAAATGTGTACCAAGCTGCCCCTAAACATACTATTGCATCAGAATTCAGTATACGAAATCTCATCATCAAGTTGAAAACATATCACCTCTTGTTTTACAATCTTCACAGTGTAGTGTGGAGGTCGACATATTCTGATTGCCAACATTGTAGAACTTCATCTCTGGATAAATCTAAGTTGAAAATTGGTTTAGTTTCGAGGATCTTATCAATCTGGAGAAATGATTATAGTTTCACAACCTACAGTAACATATAATCAGCATCAAAAACCAATGGGACAAATTGATATGTGTTATTTTAAGGTCGATCACTTTAATAAACCCTTCTTTCATCTTTAGAAAGGGACGATCCATAATTAAGCTACTATCAGAGTCGACAGTAAGACTTCTTCTGCGAGAGTTTCCGCTTTTGATCTTACCGAGCGAACCAACAGAGACATAATGTTCCAGTTAACGTAGTTTTTTTAGATCAATCAATGACAGATAAGTCTGACAATCTCATTAATTTAACAGAAACTATCTGGCAATCTTTGTTGACATCATCATGATACAGAAAACTATATAATGTCACCATTAGATGTAAACAGTGAGGTTTGCTGGTCTATATTTAGATCAGATGAGAATTATTACTTGAATAATCAACGATATGAAACTAACTTTAGTGAGAATTACATAAATGGCACAACATACCTTAATAACGACAAGAATAACTAGTAATAAATAGGAAGGTGACTACAGTAGGCTAATTTCTCCCCCTCGAAATGCAAAATGTTGCTTCAGGATTGGGTTGCATCGGCACCCGAACTAATGATAGGAAGTGAAGTAATCGAGCGTGTCGATCGCTTCACTTATCGTGAAAGTCTCATCAGCCCTTGTGGTCTGGTGTGTGACGACATCTCAGCACGGATACAGAAGGCTCGACTAGCTTTTACCAACTTACGTCATTTATGGAGTAGGCGAGATATCCGTCTATCAACCAAAGGACGTGTTTACTGCGCAGCAGTTAATTCCGTCCTACTTTATGGCTGTGAATTATGGCCAGTAAGAGTAGAGGATATCCGTAGGTTACTAGTATTTGATCATAGGTGTCTTCGAAACATTGCTCGTATATCATGGGACCATCGAGTAAGTAACACAGTTGTTAGGAAACGGGTACTAGGTAAGGATGGCAAATCAATTGATGAAGTAGTGAAACTTCATCAGTTGAGATGGCTGGGACACGTGTTACGTATACCCAACCACCGACTGCCTCAACGTGCGATGTTCAACGGTATAGGAGTAGGTTGAAAGAAATCTAGGGGCGGCCAGACCAAAACATGGCACAAGTCCATGAAGTCACTGACAAGTGGACCGAGTCATGTTGGTAGGTGTAGACTACCTACCTGGTTGGGGACCGCTAGATGATAGCAACCGATGGTTAGAGACCCTGAATGACATGGTTCAAAATCGTTTGCAATGGCGCAGGTGCATCCACTCTCTTCCCTAATCTTCCCGATTACTGCTTATACTCTTACCGCCTCTATCACTACGGGATTTGAATCGACCACTGCATCTCTGTGGTAATGTGGTGTGGCAACTCGAACTGATGTACGTACGTACGAAGTTCTACGTTGTTATTGACTGACTGACTGACAGTAGGCTAATGTTTCATAAAGTATAATACTCGGTAGATAATTTTAATGTCACACAACAAAAAAGTGTGAATTTTTCTACTTAAAGGTCTCCCCCCAGAAAAAACTCAATATAATACTAGTAATCAGGTGAAAATAATAATAATAATAAACACATACTGGCTTCGATTTTCTCGATTGTTGTTTACATGTTTTCTTAAAGGTAGTTGGTCGTATGCAGATGATATTCCTGAGTCAAAAGTACTCGATGTATCTGAAGCAGTAATAATGGGCAATTGTTGACTATGACAAGTAGTAGAATGTTGAGGTTTATCATTTAATTGATGAATATAATTACAATTACAATAGTTTGCTGATAAATGATCATTTAATGCTGATGGTGAATGTGTACAATGAATACAACGATGACATTCACATGGGATCATTATGCCAGGGTGTTGTTGACAGGTACCAGTAGTAGCAGTAGTAGTATTGTTAGCAGAGCATGTAGAATTCAAATTAACACCAGGGACTGGGTAAGATAGTGATAATGACGGTGATTCGTAAAAAGATTCACATTGTTTACTTCTTCTTCTCAACCTACTACTACTAAACGGATATGCATAATTTGGACTTGAGGTTTCTTTGAATTGACTTGATTTAAAATATGACTTTTCGCTTGTATTTGTATGATTCTTTCTAACATAATTATCGTCACCATCGAATATTCCACGTGGATAATGACGTATAATTTTCTCAACTAGTTTAGCAGTTACTTCACCATTGACCAGAGCTAACTCTGTAGTTGATGATGATAAAGCTTGCAAACTAGCCGCTTCTAAAATTGATGCAGTATCTACTGTATCATCCATAATATCTAAATCATCACGATGATGATGATGATGGTGATGATGTAATCGATGCTTTTTTTCATAATAATTACTTACAACACCACTATCCCATGAAGCGATAGACCGTAGATCAGCTTTATTAGGTCGACTGAAACTTCGATAAGTCACATTACCACCAGAAGCAGTAATATGTCGTCTTCGATGAGAATTATCCGATATTTCTGTCCTATTATTATTATCATTATTTGAAGATACAAAAGAAGAGTCTGTAGACGAAACAACTACTGTAGCAAATTTACTTTTTTCCATTAATTTATTCATTTCATACTGTTTAACATTAGATCCATTGCATACAATATCAGTTGTATTATGCTTCATTGAATTGACAAGTGTATCATCACATAACATTGAAGAATATGGTGTATGCATTAAATTATTTTGTTGTCTTTTTGAATATGATGATAATAATAATTGACTGTCAATATTCATATCGGATTCATCTGCCCAAATTCTTGAACAATGATCATCTAATATTTCTTGAGCATTTTGAAATTTATTGACGCTATTCAATAATTGTGATCCAGTATTCATCATCATCATCAATGTAGAATTATAAGGATCATTTAATGTAGATTGTTGAATAGTTGAAGAATTTGTTTCATTCATTATACTATTGGTTGTATTTATAAATGAATTAGATTTTAATTGTGACCAATTTGATTGATCTAAATGATGTGATGAATTATGTTGATTAACAGCAGAAATGAATTCATTTGGATCAGTTTGTCCTATTGGTAGAGTAGTTTTAGACTCTGTTAGATGTTTATCATCAACCTATTCAATGTTAAAAGATAAAAACATTGTTTTAAGTTCATCTAAGTAGTTACATAAAAACTAGATGTTAATTTAATGAAATCAATTTAGCGAGATTATAATTTATGGACCTAACTAATCAGAATTAGGATAAAAGGTCTTAGATTTTGGCACGAAATTCACTCATTCATTTGGATAAATAGAGTTACTAACTTCTAATCTGAGCCATGTTAGTAGATGCAGACTACTTGGTTGGGGCCCACGTGACTATCGTAACCAATGGTTGGAGATTCTTGGTGATATGGTTCAGAATCGATCGATCACAATGGCGTCAGTGTATACACTCTCTGTCTTCGTTTAAACTAAGAGATTAAAACTGCCTCATATCTTTTTTTCTACCAACTAATTCTTTTTTCCTGTACTATATCATTATATGCAATCCTTCTTTTATATATCATTACCATTGAAGTGACTACTATAAATTTGGTGTTGATCTTGTTCTGTTAATGAGGTATGGCAACTTGGACCGATGCATATATGTGCCTGGTCCTACGTTGTAGCTGACTGACTGACTGTTTTGGCATTATAACTGATGTAAGTTTGTGATGAAAACCCTAAATCTAATTCCTAACCCTAACCATCAAATGTGAATCATAATCCTTATTCTTCAAACTACTTTATAACCCTCATTTAGCCCTAGTAAGTAGGTAGACACTCTCAAGGTTACTTTAGCGTCACTCAATAGTCGTCCATAAATTATAGTCTCACCAATCAATTAACAAGTATATGCAAATATGCATGAAATAAACGGAACCTATGAAGATAATTAGTAAGAATCGGTTAACAGAATAATGATTTTCTCTTTTAAAAAAACTACTTGGAGTAAACACTGATGAGGTTAAAAATAACAATGAAGAAAACTTCACAATCAAACTACTTGGTTGAGAGGATATGATGTAACCGAAATGTTTGATGTTCTTATGAATGGCTAAGCCATAACTTTGACGTCCAATTTATGGTCTACAATAGTGTTTAAGTAGTCTTATATTAAAGTTATATATCATATCAAGTTATATAAAGTTGAATGGTTCTCTAATAATCGACTAAGTGTTTCTCTAACTGTCCATAAAATAAACAGTTGACTTTTTCATTGTTGCGTTGAACCCTAAAGAATCTTCCCGTTGTGGTTCTTCTGCGTTGGGCAAGACATATGCAAACACATACTCCCACTAGAGCATAATCCGAATTTAAATGTATGCTCCAGAACGGACGAGTTTTCTACCGAGCTTTTCGCATGATGATTGATATTGAAATGGTTTATTTGAGTTCATTCTTTGGACGATTTTGAGGGTTTCCATGTTAGACAATCACTCTCTTTATATTTTGGGTTGGACAGTAAGGTTGAGGACTAAGTTTAGAATAGTTCACTTTTTATCATAGCCTACATTTTAGATCCAGTATTCCTCTGTACATGACTTTCCATTCGTTTTTTGAAGCATATTCTCAATGATGATACTAAAAATACTATATTTGTGTGTGAGAGCATGTGAGAGAATTTCGAGAGAGCGAGAGCTGACTCTCCTCACTCTCGTCCGTATCAGGCCATTTGAGGGGCGTTTAAATGAACATAGAATTTTGTCTGTAGTTTAGGTTGTGGCGATTGTGATTAGTTCTACATTAGAGTCTTCTCGTGAAACCTAGACTCGTCCCAAGGAACACTTAAGCTACACAAAATGAATTAATAATACTGTAGAACTGTAAAATTTACAAATAAAATCGACAATATCAGCACATGCTATAATCAATAATCACCAAATCGATATTCAAAATATCGAAATAAGTCAATAAAAGCTTTCCCAACTATGAAGAAAGACCAGTAAATGAAGCGTTTCATATAGTGTTAAATCTGGCCCCAAATGTCATGGTACGACCGAGAATGGGGAGGGATCGCTTTCCCTATCGAAATGTTTTCACATGGCCACACGTATATAGCCCCTCTGCCAGGGAAGTTCTACTCACTGCTTTCTCATGGCGGGGATGTTGTTTACGAAATTGAGAGCACGAAAAGCGAATGTCCAGCGATCTAACCGGATTGGTGGACACAGAGAGTTCACCTAGGGAAGTTGGAAAACCCTCACTCCAAACCAATGCTGCATCTGGGCTTCAGGATCCTGAGGGAACAAATGGCGTATGAACTAGTCGTTGGTCACCGGCTGCTACCATGGGAATACCTTGTGGATTAGACCTTTAAGTCGAAGGCTCCGGATGTGACCTCCTAAGAAAGCCGCCCAGGCAGTATCACAGCCCATACACACATCGAATGATTTATGTAGCGCATACCTTTATTTGGTACCTTCTTGTACCAATGTTTATGTGTTTAAACAAAATAAAATAAAGTAAAACACAACTTACCTGATGATTAACAAGTGACATTAATTTTTCTAATTTACCACGTGATTCTTTTATTTTCTCTAATCGATCAGTTAATAATTGAACAAATGAAACTGGATCTGATTCAGCTAAATTTGTTTGTTTTCTTATTGTCCAGTTTATTTTAGGAGGATTATTATCATTATTATTATTATAAGTAGTATTATTAGTAGTAGTAGTATTAGTAGTAGTATTAGACTCTTTTATGAGATTATCCGATTGATGTGTTTGTCGTAAATTAATTGAATGCAGCATAAATGGTAAATCAACATTATTTGATGTTGAATTCACTGATTGCATTGTTATTACTGATGAAGATGTGATAGGTGCTTGTGTTAATAATTGACTTGAACCGTTTCCAGGATGTGGATTATCATTACTATTAATATTATTATTATTATTCATAAAACACGGTTGATTTGTGAATTGTGATTGACTGTCACAAATGTTGTTGTTATCATGTTGTCGTTTTGATCTGGTTGTATCTTTTGCATGATTGTCTATTTGTTGTAGATGACTATCAGTTAATCTAAACAACAATATTAATTATCAAGAATTAGATGTAATAAGATAAATGAATTAAACAAACGATTGGTTAAATGAAGTTTTATAAAGACTGGTTGTCACAATTGATTGATCACTGGATGGTGATCAATGTCATGCGTGTCTAGTTCTTATTATTAGTGCAGATCGAATGCTATCGATCATGTTGCAATATGGTCACTAGTCTAGGTGACTCGACATTGTGATTACATCACAGTCCTACAAGAGGTTAGTCGCGGCTCGGATAGCTCAGTGGTAACGTCTCTGACTGTGAAGCTGGGTGACACGAGATCGAATGCGCCAGGGAGCACCAGTTCCCTCAAGATTACAAGTACACCTTGCTGACGAGTGCCAAGTAGTACGAAGCCTGGATCCAGGGTTTCCTGTTGACTACCTCCAGCTACCAGCTAAGAGACTGGTTGTATTTGTCATAGATTGATTTCAGTTGGAGTGGTTGTGTATTGTACTGTGTAGAAGAGTCCTAATACTAGGACGAAACATCTATCCAGTGTTCTCTGGTTTTTAATAATACTGTAACTGAGACTATTCTATGACGGATACAACGTACAAATACTTCGTTAGTGAATTCAATCCATCAGTTATAATCAGTGGTGGGCCTGATGTAAAGATATTTTAGCCCAAGTTGCTACATATCATATTAGGACAGTGATGAGAAAAATAATGATACCAATTTAAGTGAGAAAGTAAACATGAAATATATCAAAATAACTGTTATTTGTAATGATTTGTATTTCTCTGTTTTCTCTATACTTTTAGCTGAATTTGAGGTATCGGTTGACGCATAAGTTTCAATGAAGTGGAGACTAGATACTAGGGTGAGATGATAATTTATGAACAACCTTTGAGCGACGTTAAACTGACCTTGAGAGTTTCCACTTAATAAGTAGGACCAAATGAGAGTTATAAACCTGTGTGGGGAATTACAATTATAGTTTACAGTTGATGATTAAGTTTAGGAATTAAATTTCGGGTTTTCATCACGAACTGACATCAGTAATAATGTCAAAACTCTATTTATCCAAATAGATGAGTGAATTTCGCGCAAAAATCCGATACCGGTTATCTTATACATGATTGGTCCGTCCATAAATTATATTCTCATCGATACTAGTTATGGAGAGATTAATCTAACCTATAATCAACTGATTTCCTCCGAAATCTGTAAATAAACAATCAAAGGATTAAGAAATTTCACAGGTTGAAATCATGAGTTAATTGAAGCTAGACCACCATGGAAAACCTGGAAGCATTGGACGGCCGTTTCGTCCTAGTATGGGACTCCTCAGCAGTGATTAAGAAATTCATCGACAATTGACTGATCACTGGATAGTGATCAATTTCATGTGTGTCATATTCGAGTTTCCTATTGACTACCATCCTTTGAATTTTTTCCAAATATGATATTATTCACAATTAAGATATAATATCGATTTTGATTCCACCGAAGAAAACAAAAAGCCGATACCAAAACTATGACGAAACAAAGAAAATTCTATGACAAAAATCATATCACTTATCTCTTAATCAAGCACACTTTAGATTATTTCATTTTAATAAATTAGGTCAAATGTATGAATCCCCTCTGTATGTAAGTGTGTGTGTGTGTGTGTGTATGTACGTGGAATTGTTATGTGATTAGAAAATCTATAGAATTAAAAAAAAAAATATTCCTTTGTAAGTTTACCGGGGTTTTAGTTGTACATGTTCCATTGAAAAGCAGAATAATCAAAATATTATAAAGGCTATTCACATTCACATTCACATAGAAACATTTATAGAAAATGTGCATAATACAGAAACAAAAACATAAAAAACAAAACATGGATAGACAGACAGACAAACAGACAAACAAACAAACCGATTTTTGTGGACAAACAATCAATAGGTAAACAACACAAGTAAACATACATACATAGAAACAGTTATGTAGATATAATCCGATGACAAAAGAGGCAAAGTTTTCCACATGTGTATCTATGTATGTATATATATATATATACACATAAACACATAGATAATACATAAGGCTTGTCATAAAGTACCGTCGCCGCCATTGCCGCCATAGTTAAAGGACGCTTTTAACCGACAAATAAAAATAAAGTCGATTTGTTTTTGATGTTGAAGTGTGTGTATTTATGTACGTGGATGTGTATTTTCATATTCAATTATGCACATATTATCACCGCTTTTTTAGAAAAAAAAACAAGCTTCAACTATCATCATTCTGCTTGTAACAACATTCATGATACTAATAGTAATAACAATAGACCTATTAGATTGAAAGCGAGAGAGAGAGAGAGAGAGTAAAACTGTCTTCATTTCATTAAAACACTAAAACGAATAGAGTATGTATGCATGTTGTATATACCGCGATGATCAATGCAACTAATTTGTGTTGGTAAATGACAGTGTATCAGTTATGACAGGATTAATCGCGGCAATATGTATATATATATATGTATACTAACATTTAAACAAACAGTGAAATGCACTTCCGTGACTATGCATAATACATATCTATGAATGTATAAGGTAGACAACAACAATGCAGCTGTTAAAAATTATTAAAGACGCAGAGAAATTATTATGATTATTGTTTTTAGCAGTAGTAGTAGTAGTAGTAGTGTATGTCTGAATAAGTAAAATCGATAGAGTTTTGTAGAAAACGAAAAAAAGCAATGAAACAACACGAATTCGTCATGAAAAAAAAGCTTGATACATAGAGTTAAACAGACTTATTTATGAAGGTACAAAGAACATTACACTTGATAAAGTAAAGTAAGGTAAGGTAAGTTAGAAGAAAACAACATAAAAGATAAATGTTTATGATGTACCATGTATTTTTAAACTCAAACATAACAACCAAATGATTGCGTAATCAGTTTTATTGGGTAAACGTATTTCGCTTGTATAAATGACGTAAAGCAAGTTTAAGGGGTGTCCTCTCAATGTGTACGGTATACTTAAATTTCATATACCACCTAAATCAAACATTTATGCATAAACATATTAGAAATATTTAACAATTGTAAAAGGTTTATTTTGTTCTCGGTGGTCGACCGTTGAGCGATGTTAGAATGACCTTGATAGTGTCCACCTAGTAACTAGGATCAAATGACAGTTATAAAGCAGTATGAGGAATTGGAATTATGATTTACAGTTGATAGTTAAGGTTAAGAATTAGATTTAATGGTTTTCATCACGAACTTAGATGAACTGAAATGCCAAATTTCTATTTAGCTAAATGAATGAATTTATTTCGCGCCAAAATCCGACATCTGTTATCTTATACGTGATTGGTTCGTCCATAAACTATAGTCTCTCCTTGTTCTCCATTATCTCTGTCATTTTGCATATTTGGAAAATATGCATTGGCTGTTTGCTCAGTGATAAATTAGAAACAACACTAATTATTATCAGAAGGGGTTTTGTGGAGATATTAGAAATTTCACTGATTGAAATCATGAGTCAATTGAAGCTAGACCACCGTTGGATACCGGCTCAGTAGTCTAGTTGTCTATGCGCTTGGCGCGAGACTGATAGGTCCTGACTTCGAATCTCGCGGGGGGGCGAGATGGTGGATGCGCACTGTTGAGGAGTCCCATACTAGGACGAAACGGCCGTCCGGTGCTTTCAGGTTTTCCATTGTGGTCTAGCTTCAATTGACTCATGATTTCAATCTGTGAAATTGTAAAAGGTGTTCCTTAATACACTCAAAAACACTAGGACTATTTCGTTTCATTCTATGTCTATAAGACAAAAGATTTAACCTTCATCCTCAATTAGTATCCATCAAGGTTGTCCAATTATATATATATTTTTTTGTTTAGTTGCCTAATGAATATCTTCCTGAAGGTGATGCCATCACTAGACAACTTTTCATAGATTATTGACAGCTTAATTAAAGACTTTCTAATCAATTTTAAGTATATAAACGACAGTTTTATTTGTTATGTATTCTAAGATGATACAGTGTTGTAAGTTCACCAGTTAACAATCTGGGAATGTTTTGACAACGTTTCACTCCCTCCAAGTTCAATATGCAATTTCTGGGTGTCTCCAGTCTGATAACAGAAAATAAAACAGTGGAGAGCATTGACGATTTTAACAATCTTGAGTTTTACTATCTTCATTTGTTAATAGATAGGTGATATAATTTCATCACGCTTATGAATAAATTGTCTGGCTTTGGTCAACCTGAATTGCTTGATCATTAAAGGGGAAGTTTATTACTATCTTTGAAGGTTTCTTAGAAGTATTGCTCATATAAGGTAAGACTGTCAAGCACATGTAGTGCTATGAAGTTACATCTGTTAGAATATTTGGGATAAGCATTGCACATACACAATAGCCAATTACTAATTGGTCAACATACGAGTATATCAGAGAGATGATAATGGTAATCAAATTAAGAAATGGGATTAGTCCATGAAGTGATTGATAGGTGAGAAAATCCACTCAATAGTACTGGAATAGCGTATAAATATATGCTAAATATTGTTGAATAAGCGTTAAAAATTCCAATCATCAAAAGTAATTTTCAAACTACTTTTTAATAGACATCACTCAGTAAGTTCAGTAAACTTAAATATTGAAATGTGTCTAGTTTACTGGGTCATAACTCAACATTACACAGTGTACTATGCAGAAAGACTGATGTTCACGTTATAAAAAACTAACTGAATTATTTGATATTTAACGTATCCTATAAAACATACATATGTGTGTCATCTCGTTGGTACTAAAAACTACAAATGATCCGTCATCTCAGAAATATGTGCATCCTGAGAAGATTGTCTACGTTCTGTTAGATATTCACAACGATTTTAACAAAGTTTGGTAGTGGCTAGGAATGGAATTCAGAAAGTTCAGTGGACAACGAATTGGACATTTGAAACGTAAGGTAGTGGGATTTGAAGTCCCGGTTGGAATATCAACACTGAGATGCAGGTACACCCAGTTAGCGATTTCCAGATCAGATGAAACAAACTCTCTGAATTACATTGACAGCTACTACACATACATTACGCTTCGATTCACATTTATTATATGATATCTAGACATAACAATCAAATAAGGAATCGGAAGAATAGATGGTTTGAACATTCTTGTGTACTATTTCATACAATTTATTTATTGAAACACATAAATATTGGTACAAAGGGGCACTGAATACATATGCGCCACATAAATCATTCGATTTGTGTATGGGCTATGATACTGCCCGGGTGTCCAAACCGAAGTAGATGGTTTTCTTATAGGGCCACCACACCACGAACCTCCGACCTAAAGGTCTAGTCTACAAGGCAGTGAAGTAACGTCAAGAGATGCAGTTCCCATGGTAGCCGGTGACCAATAATTGGTTCATGCACCATTTGTTACCTCGAAATTCTGTAGCTCATCTGCAGTATTGGTTTGAAATAATACAAGCAAGATTTAAACTTATGACCAACTCGGTTCTAAACCGAAATGTCTTAACCATTTAATGTACTAACCCGTATAACGGTTTAAAAATCTATAATCAATAAAGAATAACTTCTAGTCAATCTATATGGTGTAAGCGTTTTATAACACATACACACCACATAAATGAATTTACCTTTGATCTTTTTATTTGTATATACATAATGGTATTCATTCTCTCTTTCATTCTCTTTATTGTTTATATATGTATCTATGACTAAAATATTGACTTAATATGTATCATTATCTTTTGTGTTCTGTTGTGATAAAGCTAGAGAAAAAAAAGAATCTTTTTGTTGTTGTTACATATCACTATTTTCTTAGTGAAACAGTTACTTTGAATAACTGAAACATTTGTGTGTCGGAAAATTGCTTTGTAGTTACAAAGCGAAATAGTTGCATCGGAACGCGCGCGCGCGCACACACACACATACACAGAGAGAGAGAAACCCATATATAGAGACGGTAAGATAAACATCCAAAGAATATTGGTTACTAGTAGTATAGATGTAGAATGAATAAAAGTATAACTTAGGTATAATATAGAGCCGTTTACTTATTACTACATGGACGACAAACATAGAAACTTGCTCAGAGACATAAAGACACCATATTCACATCTTTTTTTTTAATACGATGATGACTTAAATGATACTAAAATTCATCGAGGAAAATTATTATCAGAAGGGGTTTGTGGAGATTTTAGAAATTTTCACAGATTGAAATCATGAGTCAGTTGAAACTAGACCACCATTGAAAACCTGGAAGCACTGGACGGCCGTTTTGTCCTAGTATGGGACTCCTCAGCAGTAGCTTCAATTGACTCATGATTTCAATCTGTGAAAATTTCTAAAATCTCCACAAACCCCTTCTGAAAATAATCATCTGCTCACTAGTGACTGACTTCAAGAGATACTCCTGGAGTTCTAGTAAGAAGCCGTCACCAGTGAAGTACAACCAGGTCTGTTGTGAGATATCAGCTCATTGAAGACAATGGTATATGGTGGCGCAACTTCGTGGATTGGTTGAAGTTACACATTAACACCGTTGGATACCAGCCGGCTCAGTGGTCTAATGATTAAGTGCTCGCGCGCGAAGCCAGTAGGTCCCGGGTTCGAATCCCGCGGGGCGCGGGACTGTGGATGCGCACTGCTGAGGAGTCCCATACTGGGACGAAACGGCCATCCAGTGCTTCCAGGTTTTCAATGGTGGTCTAGCTTCAACTGACTCATGATTTCAATCTGTGAGAATTTTTCACTCAATTCACATGTATGTAAATCAATGAAATTCTCTGAATAATCAGTTACTATCAATATAGTAATAATAGTAGTATATGCTAGGACTGATTTTTCTCAATGTAAGTGTTGTATTGTTCTATTCAACTTTACAATATCAAATAAACTTTATGGTTACATATAAAGGAGTATAAAAGAAAATTGAACTAACCAATACATAGAGAAAGAAATGAACTACTCTGTTACGTGTAAGGTATGTATATATATGTACGTGTACATATTCGAATAAATTTGAAGATCAAAAGATTAAGCGGCATTTTTCACCTTGAGAAAACATATTTAGTAGTAGTAGTCGTACTAGCAGACTGTACATAGTTGACTAGACATAATTATAATACTAATATTAATGAATGGAATTATCTGTTAACAACACGAACCAGTTTTACCATTCAAATACTTATATGAAGGTAAATTGGATGATTCCATAAAACAGTTAGGCTTAAAAATATGAATCCTGATAAGTTTAAACTTAGTTATTTGAGAGTATTGAATGTTAAACAAACCGTAGACCTGAATTTCCTCAGTTCCAGTTCAAGATGCAACAGTTAATGCTTATTGATGAGTAGTCACAAATCATGTTGATAAATGAATCGTGTTTTTTTTTAATAGTTTTTCAACGGTTCACATGAGAGGGAGACAATAACATCAAGAGATCTCTCGCCTTTATGTTGAATGGTGACTGATACTGGAGGATTAACTCAATTTAGAGATGATGAATTTTTGCCTAATGGATTAACATTAATTGGAGTAAACATTGAATATCAAAAAGTACTGAAATACCTGTGTTGTCTTAGTATCTAAAACAGTATATACACATGACATTTACGTTCTGTAAAGAATACCAGATTATGAATTCAGTTAGTCAGGATTTAATTGACAACATTTTCAACTTCAATAAATAAATCATCTTAAGTAACACTCAATTCTAATGTTATCGATAATAATCATTTTGATGGAGTTTTGTTCTCTGAGCTGGATGGTTTGATCGTGGAGCTTTCATCGTTCTTCTGAACGACATCACCAGCACAAACTTCAGATAGAAGTGAAGTGTTCGAATTTCTTCATATGCGTTTCACAGCTTGTTCATTCTATTCCTTATTGAAATATCAGGCATCTATTTGAAAGTTAGTCATTAGGCGAAGAAACAATTCATGAATCAATGATGGTACAACTATTCGTTTCATTGACTTGACATTGTGATATATTTTGTAATATGATCAATGAAGAATTAGGGTTGATAATCAAGTGTAATTTCTACTAAAAAATGTATAAACCTACAAAAATCATATACCTTGATTAATTGTTTGTTAAGTGACATTTAATTCTGCTTATTTTTCTAGAAATTTTTTGTTCTACTAGACGGAACACCAATATATATATGTGCCAGATGATCAGTCAGTCGGTCGGCAACAACGCAGAACTTCGTACGTACGTACATCAATTCGAGTTGCCATACCACATTAACACAGAGATACAATTGTCGAATCAAATCCCATAGTGCTAGAGGTAGTAAAAGTATAAGTAGACGATTGGTTGTGTTTTTTTTAGATATTAGTTAAGTTGAGATTTGCCGTCGGCAATTCAATCGTATTCGAGGTCGGCAACGGACTCTATATTGTATTTATTTATTTAATACATATATTCTGATACAACCAGACACTAAATATGAACATCATTGAACGGAATTCTATTCACTAGTTTAACAAACTTCGAATATGAGTGACTATAGTACAGTCAGAGCTATTCTATACAACATTATTTTAAATTGACTTATCAGTAACAATCGTTAGCAATGTATATTTGCAATCAATTCTTATGGAATTGATAGAACTGAAAACTTATATCATCCAGTTATGAATCAGAAATGTATATATACTGGGACTATTCAGTTCACAACTGACTTTATATGAATGTGTGAAATATTCATAGATTATTGTTCTAGTCAATAAACGTATTGAAAACATTCATTCACTGGTTTACTTCTTTCTTTTAATGGATTATAATTTGGCCCCCAAATGCCCTGGTATGACTGAGAGTGGGATGGGCTCGCCCTCCCTCTCGAAATGCACTCACACGGCCACGCGTATACAGCCTCTGCCAGGGAAGTCCTACTCACTGCCTTCTCATGGCGGGGGTGTTTACGAAATTGAGAGGATGAAAAGCGAGTGTCCGGCGCTTCAACCGGATTCCAAACCAATGGTGCACATGGGTTCCAGTATCCTAAAGGAACAAATGGCATATGAACCAATCGTTGGTCATCGGCTACCATGGGACTGCATCTCCTCACGATGCTCCACTGTCTTGTGGGTTAGACTTTTAGGTCCAAGGCTCAGGGTGTGACCCCCTAAGGAAACCACCTGCTTCGGTCTGGGCACCCAAGCAGTATCCCAGCCCTCACACATATCGAATGATCTATGTGGCGCATATCTATTTAGTACCTCCTTGTACCAATGTTTATGTGTTTAAATAAATAAGTAAATATTATAATTTAGCTTCTATATAATTCCATAGATAAGGCTTCGTGATAGAACTTAGAACGGAAGCAAACAGACAATATAATGCAGAATACTTGCAATATCAATAAAATACTATCATCATCATCATCATCATCATGACAACAAGAAAAGAAACATATACTCAACTAGGAATACATGAAAAACATTGAAATGATAGATAGTTATTAGTGTTATCATTATTTTCTTTAACAAAACAAAAAAAACAACAAAATGTCCATTTGTATCAAGCTATATGGTGTAAACATATAACTCTATCTATTCGCCCAATTTTCCATACAAAAAAAGAGAATAAAACGCCTGATATTTCTTATTGGACATTGTGTGGTTTCTACACGTGTACATACCACTATTGTACACACATTTGGAACTGCCTAATTTATTTATTCTTGTATATATGTGAGATTTACATAAGAAACGATGAAATAATCTTACACATACACACATAAGCACACACACACACACATACAAAGAGATGATAAGTACTAAATGTATGTATGGGTAGTGTGCATGACAAGTTACGGACAGAAAGGATACAATACAAAATGACCACCACGTAATAAGTAACAATTTGAGAGAAAGATATTTATTGACAAAATGAGGAAGAAAAAGGGCATCATAATCAATAATCACGTATAAAAACAAATAGTACAATACAACCACCATAACTACTATTACTACTACTACTACTACTGATGATGATGATAATAGTAACAATAAAAACTAGAACAACATACATGGAATCATTCGTTGTTGCAGGCATTTTAGGAATATTACCAGATAGTGAATGATCGTCAATATTAAAGAATTGATGACGACTAGTTGATCGATGGTGATGATGTGATTTACTTGACTTATCATAGTAAAAATCAGGTTGTGCAGAATGAATAATTGGTGATTGGATTGTTGAAGATGTCCAACTGGTAGTTAGTCGAACAAAAGGATTGGTAGAAATTTGTTCCGAAGTTGAAGGTATATTACAATTATTATTATTGGGAAGGTTATAATCTGGAGTGAATAAGGAATGAAAATTCTTGGCGCCAGGAGATCTAAAAAAAAATGATATGCAATGATAAATAGACTTTGTAAACTGAATGAAAACTAAAAAAAACTATGATTTGATACAGATATCTTGAACCATTGACACATCCTATGATAGACAGTCAAATGGAATACAGATTTTTCAAAGAGTCAACCAAATCCAAGCTTAAACAATGAAAACAATTACTGACTTCAATCCTTATATCAACAATATACTTTGAAGAAGTAAGTGATTGAGACATGTCGTTAGAATAATGAATATCAAAAAAGAGCAATAATCAAGATGACATACAAACACTATCTTTTTATGTGTTTGAAATAGCCTCTTAGTCGCGTGTTGATATTAAACAATGAATCACTGGAAAACAAAATCACCAAGGACTATTGGGACCTCACAGTTACAAATGTTCAGTTTTCCACAGGTCTACCATAAAATACCAACATCTTTGGTGTATTGATTCAGAATTATGTG